ATGTGAAATCAATGATATTGTTCTGTAGTTTCCACACTCTGTTGGGTCACCCTTCTTTGGAATGGGAACAAATATAGATCTCTCCCAGTCAGTTGGCCAAGAGGTTGTTCTCCAAATTTTTTGGCACAACTTACTGAGCACGTCCAGGGCAGTATCTGGTAGCTGAAATATGTGAATTGGTATACCACCTATCCTTGAAGAGCTTGCTGCAGAGGGTCAAGAACTACAGCCTTCAGTATGGATTGAGGCTCAATGTCAAGAAGACAAAGATTCTCACCACTGGACCAACCGGCAGCATAAGGATGGATGGCAAAGAGATTGAAATTGTTCATGGCTTTAGCTTGCTTAGCTCCACAGTCAACACCCTTGGCACCTGTAGCCAGAAAATTAAAAGACATATTTCCATGGGAAAGTCTGCTGTTAGGGACCTCTCCAAAGTACTGAAGAGCAATGGTGTCTTTCTGGAGACTAAGGTGCATCTGATATAGGCCATGGTCTTTGCTGTCACTTGTTATGCATCAGAAAGTTGGACAATGACTAGGGAGGATAGAAGGAGAATTGATGCCTTTGAGCTGTGGTGCTGGAGAAGAGTATTGAATGTACCATGGACTGCCAAGAAAATAAACAGATTCAACCTGGAGAGGGTTAAACCAGGCTGCTCTTTAGAGGCAAGGATTCTGGGGCTTCGTCTGACATACTTTGGACATGTTGTAAGGACACACAGGTCCTTGGAGAGGGACATCATGCTTGGGAGGGTGCAGGGACAGCGCAACAGGGGAAGGCCGTCTATGAGGTGGATTGATTCAGTGACTGGGGTAATTGGGATGAGAGTGTCAGAGACAGTGCGATTGGCACAGGACAGAGCAGAGTTTTGGGCTGTTGTACATAGGGTCGCTATGAGTCTCAAACGACTCGATGGCAAACAACAACAAGAACATTCAGAAAAGAGCTTCTTGGTCTATATGTCTAGATTTTGCATACCACAATTAGGTGTTCTGGGATTCCCATTTTTCTTTATGTTATCCATAACTATTCCCTGTTTTCAGCCAAGATTTACCTCATATCTGCAATATCCTTTGTATCAAAACCTCTTTTGCATTGAGATTACATTTATGGCAGTTCCCTGTCTATGTACTATTCCAGCTGCTTTCTAATAATCTTCAGTAAGAATTTGCTTACATGTGCTATTAATATTAATGTTTGCTAATATCCACGTTCTCTTGAACTACCTGTTTTTGCAGTGAGAACAAATATAGATCTTTTCTAGTCAGGAGTGAAGGTCATTTAAACAAGTATACTGAAATAACTTAGTGATAAGGCATCGTGCCAACAACCCAAAGACACATTGTTTATACCCACCAACTCCATAGTAGAAAGGTGGGTGATCTTCTCTTGTGAGATTTACAGCCCCAAAAACCTGCTAGAGGGTCAGTAATGAAATACTAATTGACAAACAAAAATGACCGCACTTCTGCCATTTGCAATGGTATGTATGAATTTCAGTAACATTATATTGACTTAAAGAAGTCTTATACAAAAGATTACAGACAATGGGATTCCATTTATAAGAATTTACAAAACAAGCAAAGCACTATGCTGAGAAAAGATATATGTATGTGTATATAATATATGTGTATGTGATGTATGTGCGTACACACACATACCTCTTTAGGCTAGAATCTGGAGGAAGTTGACAATGAAAAAGTATGAGGAAAATTTCAGGAGTGATAGTTCTATATTTTTTGGTAGGAGTTTGGTCATCTCAAATGCGTACATTTATACAAAGTAAATGAATGTACACTCTGGTGGCTTAGTGGTAAGGAAATACGCTGCCAACACAAAGGTATATGGTTGTACTCCATCAGCTATTTCACGGGAATAAAGAAGGGCAATTCCCTCCCATGAAATTAAATTTCCTCTGAAAACTCACTGGAAGCTCAGTTATGGGTCAGTTCCAACTCAATGATATAAAACAACAACACTTAAGACTTATAAATTCCATTGCATGGAAATGTTATGAAAAAGAAATGCTACACTACAATAATATGAAATGAGTCTAAACTAGATGAGTAAGAATTTATATTACTAGGTAGCAATACTTGAAGAAGTAATTTGCTCAAGATCTTATAAAAGCAAAGATTGTATAGGTTGATAAATTCATAAAACACTGAATCACAACAGAACTTACCTTGTTCTTAAAAGGTAGGTTGATAAATTCATAAAACACTGAATCACAACAGAACTTACCTTGTTCTTAAAAGGTGAAGTATTAAGGTTTTTCTATTTAGCTTTATTTCATACAATAATTCTTCTTCATATAGTTCCTGTAAAACAGTATCCATTTAAATGTGTTTAGGGTGACTGTTGTGGATTGCTATTGAGTCAGGCACAACTCATAGCGACTCTATGCACAAACGACCTAATGTCTTTTCATAACTATGACTGTTTCTCCAAGTTCATAGAGTTTCCAGAGACATGTGGTTTTGGAAGTGGATGCCACTACTTCTTCCAAACCTGTTTTACAACTGGGAGCTCCACCAAACACTGTCCACATTGGGAAACCATTATGGTATTTGATACCCCAGTGGCACAAGGTTCAGCATCACAACAAACACAGGTTATTTCATACAGCAAATTGATGAAGTGGAAGAATGTTCCTCCAGATATAACAACACTAGTCTCACTTAGCAGTGGTTAAGTGTTGTTAAATTCCATAAGACTCGTAGCGAGGCTTGCATGAAAGACCTGAACTCTATTTATAACTAACATCATTTCTGTATGTTTATAGAGTTTCCAGAGGCATCTAGTTTAGGAAGTGGATGACGTTCATGCTTTCCAACGTGAATCAATCTGGAAGCTCCTCCAAACATTTTACATGATGGGTAACCATGAGGTATTTGACACGACTATGGCACAGTGTTCAACAGTACAGTAACTCTCTTATTTAGTACAGCAAATAGACAAATGATTGCTGTATGACTTGGTCCACCCCTGGTCAAAAGTTCAACTGACACCCGCTTTTAGGGGGAAAAACAGTAACACACTCCAAACACGACCCCAAAAACTTCCCTTACATGACCACCATCAAGATGTGACCACCATCAATACGCTATAGTGGAGAGGATAAACCTAGGTCTCCCACAGCCCTGTAAAAGTAGTCTTTTTCAGGAAATAATAATAAATACAACTATAGTTGACCTTATAATAGAGCTATTATTATAAGGAAGATTTTACTTAGAAGTTATTTAGAAATAATAAAGCTATTAGTAGGGTTTCCCCCGTAATTATAAAAGAAAGGGCATATTTCTCCTCATCCACATGCCTCTCTTCACTGTATCACCAGGACTTCATCCCAGATGACTAGGAATGTAAAGTGCTCGGAGATGACATTCCATGAACACCAACCAGCTTGGAACAAATTGTTGTTGTTGTTATGTGCCGTAGAGTCACTTACGACTCATAGCGACCCTATGTACAACAGCCCTAAACTCTGTGCTGACCTGTGCCAATCGCACTCTCTCTCACACTCCCATCCCGATTATCCCAGTCACTGAATCAATCCACCTCATAGAGGGCCTTCCCTTCCTGTGCTGTCCCTCCACCCTCCAAAGCATGATGTCCATCTCCAAGGACCGGTCCCTCCTTACAACATGTCCAAAGTATGTCAGACTAAGCCCCAGAATCCTTGCCTCCAAAGAGCAGCCTGGTTTAACCCTCTCCAGGTTGAACCTGTTTATTTTCTTGGCAGTCCATGGTACATTCAATACTCTTCTCCAGCACCACAGCTCAAAGGCATTAATTCTCCTTCTATCTCCTTAGTCATTGTCCAACTTTGTGATGCATAACAAGTGATTGCAAAACCCATGGACTGTATCAGATACACCTTAGTCTCCAGAGTGACACCATTGTTCTTCAGTACTTTGGAGAGGTCACTAACAGCAGACTTTCCCATTGCAGTACTTTTTTTATTATTTCCTGGCTGCTGGTGCCAAGAGTGTTGACTGTGGAGCCAAGCAAACTGAAGCTATGAACAATCTCAATCTCTTCACTATCCACCCTGATGCTGCCAGTTGTTCCAGAGGTGAGAATCTTTGTCTTCTTGACATTGAGCCTCAATCCCTACTGAAGGCTGCAGTCATTGACCCTTTTCAGCAAGCATTTCAGGTTCTCCTCAGTTTTAGCAATCAGGGCTATGTCATCCGCATAACGCAGATTGTTAATAGATCTTCCACCAATCCTGATGCTACACTTGTCCTCATAGAGCCCAGCATCTCGGATAATCTGTTCTGCATACCATACAGGTTGAAAAGGTATGGAGATATGACACATCCCTGGTGTATACCTTTCCCAATTTTGAAACTTGCAGTGTTTCCCTGCTCTGTTCTGATGACTGACTCTTGGTCCAAGTATAGGTTTCGCATTAGAATGATTAAATGTTCTGGGATTCCCATTCTTCTCAGAGTCAGCCACAGTTTGTTATGATCCACACAGTCAAATGCCTTTGCATAATCAATGAAACACAGATAGACATTCTTCTGGTATTCTCTGCTTTCAGCTAAGATCCATCTAACATCAGCAACAATATCCTTTGTACTACCCCTTCTAAACCCAGCCTGGACTTCTGGCAAGTTTCTGCTGATGTGCTGTTCCAGTTGCTTTTGGATAATCTTCAGTAGAATCTTGCTTGCATGTGAAATCAATGATATTGTTCTGTAGTTTCCACACTCTGTTGGGTCATCCTTCTTTGGAATGGGAACAAATATAGATCTCTTCCAGTAAGTTGGCAAAATGGGTGTTCTCTAGATTTCTTGGCACAACTTGGTGAGCACGTCCAGGACAGCATCTTTTAGCTGAAATATATCAATTGTTATACCATCTATTCCTGGGGCCTTATTTTTTGCTATTTCCTTCAAAGCAGCTTGAACTTCTTCCTTCATAACCATAGGCTCTTGCTCATATGTTATTTTATTAAATTCTTCTGTGTCTGCCAATTCCTTTTGATACAATGACTCAGTATATTCTTTCCATATTCTTTTAATACTTCCTGGATCATTTAATATTCTGCCTAAAGCATCCTTGATCATAGCAACTCGAGGTTTGAATTTGTTCTTCAGTTTCTTGAGCTTAAGAAATGCTGAACAAGTTCGGCCCTTTTGATTTTCCGACTCCAGCTTCTTGCACATTTCCTTGTAGTATTTTGTCATCTTGTGCTGCCTTTTGGAATCTTCTGTTCAGCTCTTTAATATCTTGAATTCTTCCTTGTGCTTTGGCTTCTCTAAGCTCCAGTGCAATCTTCAGAGTTTCTTCTGACATCCATTTTGGTCTTTTCTTCCTCTTCTCTTTTTGTAATGACCGTTTGCACTCTTCCTGGATGATACATTTGACACCCTCTCACAATTCTTTAGGTCTTTGCTCATTAGTGTTCAAGGTCTCAAACCTGTTCCTGAGATGGTTCTGAAATTCAGGTGGGATAGACACAGAGTCATATTTTGGTTCCCATGGATTCGGTTTAATTTTCCTCAGCTTCAGCTTGAACTTGTATATGAGTAGTTGGTGGTTTGTTCAACAATTAGCACCTGGCCTAGTTTTCACAGCTGATATTGAGATTTTCCTGTGGTTCTTTCCACAGATGTAATCAATCTGATGCCTATGCATACCATCAGGTGAAGTCCATGTGTATAACCTGCATTTATTTTTCTTATAAAACTTATTTGCAATGAATAAGTCATTATTGTGCAAAATTCAATCATTCTATCTCCAGCTCAATTTCTGTCACCAAGTCCATGTTTTCCAACTACTGATTCTTCATCTCCATTTCCAGTTTTTGCATTCCAGTCACCCATTATTATCCATGCATCTTTTTTTTTTAATCCATGCATCTTGATTGTATGTTCGATTGATCTCCAACTGTAAAAGTTGGTAGAAATCATCAGTTTCTTCTTCTTTGGCTCTGGTTGTTGGTTCATATGTCTGAATGATAGTGATATTCACTGGACTTCCTTGTAAGTCTATAGATATTATCCTGTCATTCACAATGTTGTACTTCAAGACAGATCTAGAAATTACTTTTTAAACTATGAAAGCAACTCCATTTTCCTCGCCTCTTCATATCTGGAGTAATATATCATATGATCACCTGACTCAAAATGCCCCGTGTGGGTCCATCTCATCTCACCAATGCCTAGTATGTCAATATTTATGAGTTCCATTTCTTTCTTAACAGTATCTAATTTTCCTACATTCATGGTTCTCATATTCCATGTTCCAATCACTAGTGTCTGCTTACAACTGTTCCTCTTCCTTTGTATTTCCATACTCAGTTGCCCTCTCTGTTAGTCTGTGTGCATTCTGTTGTACCTAGGGTTTTCAGAGGCCTGCTATTTCAGAAGTGGATGGCAAATTCTTCTTCCTAGTCTGTCTTAATCTGAATGTTCAGATTTAGAGGAGTATCTGAAAGACAAACAATTTATAGAACAGTGAAAGATAAATCCCTCATTGTGGAGTTAACTATTTAGGTTGATTTAATTTAGCCTGGAAATGGGGCCCAACTGTTGGTAGAACTTCTCATGTAAACCAGAAAATCTAAAATGAATTCTTTCCAATCCCTAAACCTGAAGTCATGTGTAAGGTGAGTTCTGCTTACTTCCTCCCCCACCCACCCACAAATCTGTGTTACTAGGTTACTGCTTGAATTCTGCTTACTTTCTGTTTTCTAATCTGTGGTGGATTACTTCTCCCAACCATGTGTAAAATACTGAATAATAAAAATGTGAAAGAATCAAATCTTATTATTTATACATATGTTGCTCACTTGTCCTCCCTTTTTTTACAGTAGTGGTCTTATGCAGTATTTGTCCTTAAGTGATTGAGTTCTTTCACTCAGCATAGTGCTCTCTAAACTTTCTGATGTTGTATGGTATTAAGGAAAAAGGGAAGGGGCCAAGGGGAGTAGAATAAGGGGAAGGGGGAAAATTACTTGGGTAACAGTATTGGTGGGTGGAGGAGGTCAAAGAAAGGGGTTCTATGAGGACTTGAAGAGTCACAATGATAGATCAGTTATAATTATATAATGTATATGGATGACTGTATAAAACACAAAGTACATGTATTAAATATGACATATTTGAATGATTATATGGAAACCAATTTTAAAAATTTCATCATTAAATCAAAACCTGTACCTGCATGTCAGCATCATCGGAGTATCTAACATCACGCTTCTGCATCACAGGGAGCTTTTTAGGATAAACCAGCTCTTGACTCTCTACTCCAGGAATAATTTTTTCTGAAAGGATGTAAATACAGTTGAAATTAACATTCATTTGCAGTGAATGGAAACAGAATTGTTCTCAGAATAAACCAACAGGATGAAATATTTCTTCCTTTTCAGCCAAGGAGTGAGCTTTGGTTGCAGATTTCCTAGGAGTTGCACTGCTGACACAGACCACACATTTCAAAAGGTTTAAAACTTTTGAGGATTAAACCAGTGCACCAGCAACCCTCAGGAAAAAGATGGACAAACTCCCTGTGGTGCTTTACAGCCTCAGAAAGCTGACCTGTTCAAGGACAATTAGTTTTTTTCTTGAGTTAGTTGTGATCCCTGGATGGTGCAAAAGGTTAATGCATACTTTGTTTCAAACCAAAAGATTGGAAGATAGAATCCACATAGAATCACCTCAGATGAAAGACCTGGCAATGTATTTCCCGGAAAGTTTAGTAATTGAAAACCCTGTAGATCATAGTTTTACTATGACACACATAGATGGAGTAGACTTGACAACAAATGATAACTGGTTGAGTTAATGCTAAAGATATACTATCAAACTTTTAGTTTTCTGTTAGGTGAACTCAGCATGTGTTATAATGGATAAAGAATGAGGGAGCCCTGGTTGAGCAATGGTTAAGCACTTGACTATCCACCACGAGATTTGCACTATGAACACCTCAGCTGGTCTACCAGAGAAAAGACCTGGGCATCTGCTTCAGCAAAGATTCCAGCCTAGGAAGCTATGTGGAACAGTTCTACTCTGTCCTAGTGAATCACTATTTGTCAGAATTGACTCAACAGCACATAGCAACAATGGTTAAGTAGTAATATAAAGGAAAGGGTACAGACACTGTCTTCTTAGAGTTTGAGTCAAGGTTTTACCAGTTCAGTAGCAGTGTGACCACAAACAGTATATATCATTTTTTCTGATTCATAAATACCAGTATTAATTAGGAAGGGCCAGTCCTTGGAAAAGACATCATGCTTGGAAAGGTAGAGGATCTGTAATGGAGAGGAAGGCACTCAAGAAGAAGGATTGGCCCAGTGACTCTAATGAGCCCAAGTATCAGAGATGATGTAGACGGCACAATGTACGGCAAGGTTCAGGTCTAATATTCACAGAGTAGCTATTAGTCGTAGTTGACTCCATGGTACATAACAACAACAACAACAATATAAATAGTGACCATATTGATAAAGACTTTGGAGCACTGGTGACTAGCCCTTAGCTGCCTCTCTCCAGTGGTTTGAAACCACTAGTGGCTCTGTAAGAACAAGATGAGCTCTATAAAGACTTATAGCCTCAAAAACCCAAGGGAGGGTAGCTTTGAATCAGAATTGAGGCAACAGGAGTGAGTTGGTTTGGGTGTTTTTTTTGGTTTTTTTTTTTTTTTGTAACATAAGTGACAAACCCTCAACCTATTGTCCACTAGTCAGAATCAACTTATAGATGACTTTTGGGCTCATTTTCAGAAGCTATAAATTCAAAGGGAGGAGATTGCTCATCACACTATCACAGTCAATTACATTGATGTGGATGTTATAACATTGCTATCAGATGACGGTGACTCATAGAAACCCTATGAATGACGGATCTGAACCCTGCCCTGTGCTGCACCATCTTTGCCAACCCTAATATACTTGAGCCCATTGCTGCAGTTAGTGTGTCAATTCATCTTGTTAAGGGTTTCCTTCTCTTTTGCTCCTCCACCTTTTGAAGCATGATTTTTTTTTAAGGACTGATTCCCCCTGACAATGTGACTGTTATGCGTAAGAGGAAGATTCTCATTCTTGCAACCCTGGTTGCATTTTCTCCAAGTCATATTTGTGTTGGAGACAATGTTGCCACATTGTAGGTTTTTAAATGTTTACTAATTTCTCTTCTCATTGTAGGTCGGTATGTTAAAGGATGACACACTATCCCATAGAATCATAGAATCTCAAGATTAGCAATAAACTTGAGTCCTACACTAGATTATACTCTCTTCATCAACATTTTTGGCATGAACTTCAATGGCATTCACTTATGAGCAAGTCCCCCCTCCCTTTTTTCAGTATTTCTGTGATCATAGGTTATTTAAAAATGTTTATAGTTTCAAATGAAATTCTCTGTATTGTATCTCTTAATGTCCTCAGATTCTTACCTTACACTCTGGAGTTACAAAGCATAAATCTAATCTTCTTTATGGCAGTGTTTCAGATGTTTGAGGATAGTTGTTTTGTCTATATCTCAAATTATTGCTTCCCCAGTTTATTCAAACCTATCCTTTTGATTGTGGAATAACATGTTTAGATATCAAGAAAACGTAGCCTGATTTGTGAGTATTAAATAAATCATTGAAAGGAAATGATAGCCTTTTAGACTAGTAATACTCCAAAAACTATTCTGAGATTCTCTCATATAATCTAACTTTTGAACATTAATGAAGAACTAAACGTTCATATTATGTGCTGTGAAGGTCAGTTACATCACTATTTGCTGGACAAGTCAGCACAGAAATGTACTCACATTTGGTATATTTTCTTTATTGGTCATTATAGTCCCTTCCAAATCTAAGTTCTATGTCTCAAGTCACAGTGCTATGTAGATAGAACATTGGTTTATCTCAGAAACACACAATAAAGTAAACATCTTTAACATATTCACTTAAATATTATTATTTCTGAGCCTCTAAATTTTTTTTTTTAAAAGTAATCCTCCAGTGACTGAGCACTTGGTTTTTTCCAGAACATTTTTAAGAATGGGAAGATTTTATTTTCTAATTTAAAATTTTTTAAATACTTTAATGAAAGTTTACAGAAAACTTGGATTTTCATTCATTCATTGTTACACGTTTTCCTCCATAACCCTCCACCCCTAGTTCACTTTTCCCTTTAAAAAGGTTCTTTCATTGTTGCACAATTTCCTCCCACCCCCTGGTCCCCCAGTCCACTTTACTATGTATCTCTTATTCTGAACTGTTATGATGCAAATAATATCTAATAATATATTTCTTTTAAACATGCCAATCTTTTCTTTCAGTGTTGTTGTTGTGGTAGAGATGATTCTGACTTATTGTGATGATACACTCTAGGACAAAGTAGAACTGCTCCACATGATTTCATAATATGAAATCCAAAATATTTCATAATAATATTTCATTATTTCGTGTGAAGGTCATAAAAATGTATGGAAGCAAACTGCCGCATCTTCCTCTTGAGAAGTGGCTAGTGAGTTTGAAACATCGGCTTTTCAGTTAGCAGCTGAGCACTTCACCGCCACACAATCAAAGCTCTTTTGTTTGAGAAAGTGAGCCTAAATTTCAAATATCTTACATTTCAAAGTAAGTTAAGGACTATTCCTAAAGCTGTCTTTTGTACCATATCAAAAGCTTAGACTTATCGCCCTACTATCTCCTCCAAGGAGTCCCTAAATAATTAGAATCAGAAAGTGAGAATTTTTGATTCAGTATATGCTGTGTGAAAGACAGAAAAAAAATGTAGTTTAATGAAAACATAATAAGCTATTAAATAAGGAGTAACTTCACTTCAGATTTTTATATTGTCTTTTCAGAAAGGAGAAGCAAGTGAGGTGGTGTCATATTTCTACTGGATTTTTCATAGATTTAGTCCAATCATAGGGAGCTCTGTTGGAATATTGTTATGTAGCCTCCACTTGAGTATGACTTATGGCAATCCTATGAACAACATATCTGAACCCTGTCCTATCTTGTGCCATCCTCATTATCTCTGACACACTTGAGTCTATTGCTGCAGTCCCTGTATCTATCCATCTCACTGAGGGTCTTTCGTTCTTTCACTGACCATTCCCCTTTCAAGCATGTATGCATCTTGTTATGCACATTCTGTTTGTTTAAAGGAAGCATGTAAGAAACAGATCTCTCTAGATGAAACTATGTGTGTCACAATTTGCACTACTCATAACATAATGATAACCTCAAGACTATCAGGAGAAATATGTGAATTTCCATTTTATGAAGAAAGGAACCAAATTACTAGTTAATGCTTTTTTTAAAAAAAATTACCAGTTTACATAATTAATCAGGGTGCATTTTAAATTCTAACTTTTTTGTTTATTGTATAACGCATCATTTGAGAATAATCAAGGAAATAGCCTTCTGTTTTAATGATGCATGAGTGGAAGTAATGCGAGTTGGCAGCACATGTTTGTAAGAAATCAATAAAGTAATTGTATTTAAAAAAACTGTGTTAGGCAATCTCCTATCATGCAATTTGCAGCTTCTAAAAACTCACCGGAGGTTCAGATAAGAGTGGGTTCCAACTTGATAGCACATTACAACAATAAGAAAAACCCAAACCCATCAGTGGCTATATAGAATAAAGATAAAAATCTCTTCCCATCATGATTTTTAGCCTCAGAAACTCAATGGAAGGTTACTATGATTAATAAGATTTGACTCCAGTGCATTTGAGTTTTAATCCAATCAAGTACATCTCTGATGTCTAGATTTTTTAAATGAATAACACATACTGCTTTTGACCTATTAAGTCCTTTAATAATTATCTCTAATAGGAATTGAGTTGGAAAAAAACTGACACTCTTGTTTACATTTTCCAAAGGAATAAAAACACTTTATCAGTCAGCCATCTTAGAAATAAAACTTTCAGAACTAATCTCTTATATTTCAATTATTTAGATGTAGCATCAGTTAACCATCCAACTGTTGGTACAATTAGATTAATTACTGATAAAGAGAAATAACTTTATTTCCCTTGCACAGAATTAGGCAGGGTTCCACCCTATTGTATGTAGAGTCTGTTTGAAGCTGACTTGGATGGACATTTAACAACAATTTAGAGTTCATATTACCTGTTATAAAGACCCTGCCACAGGAATAAGATGGACACAAGACGGTGGGCAAGGCTACTCTTGCTGGGATGTTCACAACAAAATTATGGATAGATATTCAATATTTTTGTCAGTTACAATTTAAACTTTGTGACTAACAAGACATTTTATCACAGTGTAATAAAAGAATTTAGAGGAGAACATTAAAACGTACCTTTAAACTGAGAAAAGAATAAAGTCATCCAAAGGATATACCCAGGAATCATTCTCAATTGTTCTGACAGAAAAGGGGCACATATGCTTGAGAGAAGATGTGCACAGCTCTTCCTCCTCACCTCCAGTGCAAGGATGAAGAAATTAATGAGATAGATGAGCAGTTTTGACCAAGAACAAGGAAATGTTCCTTGATCATAGAGCTCAATTGGTTTTGCCCTTGAGCCTACTAGCTAGAGGGTGAACACACTGTACTAATGAAAGATTACCAGTGAGGTGATGGAGGAGGAGGTGAGCTGGGAATAGATTTCTATCTCACATGTAGTGTAAATGATTTCCAGGTGTATCAAAATTCAAAATCTAACCAATTATTGGTGCTTTACAAAATCTTTGAAGAATGCTTTACAAACTTTAGTCGAAAAAGAGGTCCATTATAAAAAAAATACTTCTTGCAGAAAAGGGAAAAAAAGGAAAATTTTATTAAATTGAATTAAATGTATGTATTTAACTATTTAATTATCTATCTTTTCTTTTGTACCCTTAGAGTCTATTATAAACAACATTCAGAATCCTATCAACATACCTTACACTGTTTGCATTTTCTGCTCAAGTTTTTTCAATGGCTTCTCATTACAGAGTAATAGCAAAAGTCTATTGATAATCCCAGCATCTATGGGATTTAACTTGGTGCTATCTGATTTGAAATTGTATCACTATTCTCCTTATTTACTCTGATACCAATACCTTGTATTCTTGGTATTTATTGAATACGTCCAGCACATTCTGCATTGAGACGTTTGCTTTCTGTTTCTTCTGATGGATATTCACCTCTCAGATACACAAATGTTTTGTATCCTCATGCTCTTTAGGTTTCTCCTCTGGTGGCTTAGTGGTAAGAAACTGTGTTCTAATCCCAAAGGCATGAGGTTCAAATCCACCAGCTGTTCTTCAGGAGATGGATTGGCAACCTCCTCCTGTCCAATTAACTGTCTCTGAAAACCCCTGAAGGGTCGGCTATGAGTCCGTTCCAACTAAATAGTACTCAACAATAACACAGTATCAACAGATCTGTGGGGTTTTCTTTAAGTACCATTCAGACTACTTTTACCCCACCAATTCTAATGCCTTTGTTGTTTTCCATTGGTTGTAATAAAAAAAGTTATATATTATGTCTTCATTTGCTTGCTGATTGTCTATCTTTATTCCATGAATCTCCACAAATGGAGGAATATTTTGTCAGCTTGTCCACCTGTGTATTTTCACTTCATAGAACAGTCACAGTTGCTGTTATGTGCTATTGAGTCAGCTACGACTCATAGTGACCCTGTGTCAACACATCTGAACCCTACCATATCCGAAGCCATTGCTATCATCTCTGACACTTGGACTCATTGCTATTGAGTCACTGTATCAGGCCATCTTGTTGAGGATCTTCCTCTCTTAAAAGCACACCTATAGAGCCAGACTAACAGGGTTTAATTCTCAATTCTTACATTTACCACTGACAAACCTTGAACAATAGGTCATTTCTCTGTGTCATAGTCCTATCTATGAAAATTAAGGCAATACTTTTTTTTATATATAAGATCATACTTTACTTGCTGCTGCAAATACTTTAACCCACTGCAACTGAGTAGGGAAAATGTGGCAAAAGGTCATGTTAGAAAAGGAGAGGTAGGTAAATTGATCAAAGTACTACTTCTCTAAAGGAAAAGGGGATATGGGCTTCTTTTTACCCTTGAAGGGAATACTCAGAATTATACAAATGTCAAATATTTGATCTGACAACCTGAAACCAGCACAGTTACAACGTATGTTACACAGCCACATGCACTCAATCATTATGCTGCCTGCTGATTTCAAATAGCATTACCTTGTTCTAGCTTCAATGTCATTGTAAGAATTTGGTGCCATAAAGTGGGTCACATCTGCAATGTGGACCCCAAGTTCCAGGTTGCCATTCTTTAAGGTTCTGACTGAGAGTGTGTCATCCACGTCTTCACAGCCTTTGGGGTCAATGCTGAACACGGGGTGGGTTTTCCTCAAGTCTTTACGTTCGTTTTCCTCCTCAGGACTCACCTTCCAGGGATTTTCAGGTGTGTTCACTGGCATCTCACACATCTGAGCTTCTGAGAAAAGGATAACAGAAATACTATTCTCCACAAGGATGGTTGCAATTTCCCCTTCCAGGTCTCCGATTTTCCCCAAAACTCGCACAAAATGTCCATTTGGATACAAAGATGTTGACTCCCAGGAATCAATGCGCACAATCACCCTGAAGTCCTGGAGAGCCTCTGCTTGCTGAGTGCTGATCCGGATTTTGGGAATTCTGTAATCCCAAGGCGTGACTAGGATTTTCAGAGCATTTTTGCCCTGAGATTGGACCTCTTCTTTGGATGGAAAAGTCACCACATAATCCCGCCAGTTCTTCTGAAGGATGCCCGCTACTCTGCCTGTAGGCATGGGCTCACTCGGGGACTCGGGAACAAGGGAGGGATTGAATTGTTGGAGGCAAGGATAGCAAAGCTTTGTCTTTCATATTTTGGACATATTGTTAGGAGAGGTTATTTCTTAGAAAAGGATATCATGCTCAGAAAGGTGGAGGTTCTGTGAACGAGAGGAAGGCCTCCAATGAGATGAATTGACATAGTGACTGCAACAATGGTGCAGTCTGTTGTTCAAAGGGTCATTCTCAACTTGATAGTAACTAACAACAACAATAACAACAACAGGGAGTTCTGGTAGCCTAGAGGTAAGAAATTGTGCTGGCAACCCAAAATTAGGTGTTTCAAATTCACCAGCTTCTTCATGGGAGAAAGATGGGTAATTTCCTCTCAGGAAACTAACCACTGGATGTTCAGTCGTAGGTCAATTCCTACTTGATGGTACACATCAACAAAAACCAATAACAGTAGTACTATAAACTTACCAATGTCTCCCATTGACACTACATTAGATATAGATTTGTTGAATATATGATGGAATTGATATTCTTGCTGTTTTCTATTCAAGAAATTATAAAAGTATCACAAGAAAATCTTTAACCCAAATGACAATCTCTTCCAGTGGAATTTCTGATGTTCTGTCAAGACGATGTCAAGGAGAGAGCTCTGGTGGCCTAGTGGCAAGAAGCTGCACTGCAATTCCAGAGGTATGTGGTTCAAATCCACCAGATGCTCTCCTGGAGGAGGAGGGACAATGTCCTCCTGTACCAGTCAGATCTGATTTGACGGTACATACACACACAAAAATAATAAAAAGAAAAAAAAATTTTTAAAAAGATGATGCCAAGAAAAACTGAAGGCAGGGGAGCCCTCAGTGTAGTTTACTCTTCACCAAACCAGCATTCATACACTTAGCAAACGGAAGTCGTCTATTTCTTTCCCAGTTAGAGTTGAAACCAACATTCTATTTGAGTGATGGAAATGATACTGAGCTTACCTTTGATAAAAAGTTGCAGAAAAAGAGATAAATAAATCAACATTATCACCCATGGGATGTCAGCTATGATTCTGTGTTTACACGTAAACCTTTGAGACACTTGTCTGAAGTCTTTGGAAAGATTCTAGTCCGATGGACTTTCTTTACCACAGAAATATCAGAGGTTGGCAGTGTATGTACTTAAAATGGCTATAACATCAAAGACTTTTGAAAAATAAGGTCATAAAATGACCAAAACTCTAGTAGAAAACTAAAATTAAAAGTAAATGTTTGCCTAAGCCTGTATTCTCTTTTATTATATATGGCTTCCCCTCTGTTTGATTTTGTTGTTGTTGTGGGCTTTTGAGTAGGAACTGATGCATAGCTGGTTTTCAGAAGCAGTAAATCATATGGGAGGAGATTGCCAATCCTTCTCCCATTGAACAGCTTGTGGATTCTAACTACATGCTTTGAGGATTGCAGCACTGCTTCTTGCCACTAGGCCACCATAGCTCCCTTTTATGTTAGAACTTTATTCCTTTTTAACTCTAAAATTTATTTTTCTAGTTGGAGATCATAGTGCCTCGTTTCCAAGTTCTATCACATCACTAGTGTGGGGTAGTGAAAAACAAACAAAAAATATAATTATCTTATAATTTAGATCACTTTAGGTCTCTATACGTCTAAATTAATGCAATCAACAAAGTATCCAAAGCTTTAAAAAAAGCAAAATAATGTATCTAAAAAGAAACCTCAGTATCAAAGATGATATATATGGTCCAATTATCAGGCAAAAACAGATTTTAAGACAAGGATGATTAGACAAATTTGAGTAATGTGACAAATAAGACTGTCCTGTTCCTTTCTAAGTTCCCTGCTGCCCAGCAGTGAAGTTCTTTAGTCAATTCTCTTCTTGGTTTCTAGCAGAGGTTATGAGATTGAAGACTATTGTGTTCTTGCCTCATCACCACTGGAATCAGCTCTTTACAAAATAGTTAGACAAAAATATTCATGTTGGAACCCTTCATAACTTTATGTAAAATTTGTCTGTTTTTTTCTCCTATTTGACCTCTCTGGGAAATCTCCTATACAATTTACACAAAGGCAACGAGTTTGAGTGAAATGAGCCAGATGCTTTTTTCAGGCTTCTCCTCTATGCTTTCTAGAATTGCTATATTATGTAACACAGACTGAGTGACTTAACAGAAATTAATTGTTTTCAGTCCTAATGACTGTTGATTTTGTGTTATGTCAGGTCAGTTACAGTTCATAGTGATCTAAGTATGAGACCCTATGTACAACAGCCCTAAACCCTGCTCTATCCTGTGCCAATCACACTGCCTCTGATACACCCATCCCAATTACCCCAGCCACTGAATCAATCCACCTCATAGAGGTTCTTCCCCTCTTGCGCCGTCCCTCCACCCTCCCAAGCATGATGTCCCTCTCCAAGGACCTGTCGCTCCTTACAACATGTCCAAAGTATGTCAGATGAAGCCTCAGAATCCTTGCCTCCAAGGAGCAGCCTGGTTTAACCCTCTCCAGAGTGAATCTGTTTGTTTTTTTGGCAGTCCATGGTACGTACAATACTCTTCTCCAACACCACAGCTCAAAGGCATCAATTCTCCTTCTATCCTCCCTAGTCATTGTCCAACTCTCTGATGAATAACAAGTAATAGCAAAGACCATGGCCTGTATCAGATGCACCTTAGTCTCCAGAGTGACACCATTGCTCTTCAGTACCCTGGAGAGGTCCCAACAGCCGACTTTCCCATCGCAATACATTTTTTTTTTTATTTCCTGGCTACTGGTGCCAAGAGTGTTGACCGTGGAGCCAAGCAGACTAAAGTTGTTAACAATCTCAATCTCTTCACCATCCATCATGATGCTACCGATTGGTCTAGTGGTGAGAATCTTTGTCTTCATGACGTTAAGCCTCAATCCATACTGAAGGCTGCAGTCCTTGACCCTCTGCAGCAAGCATTTCAGGTCCTCCTCAGTTTCAGCAAGCAGGGTTGTGTCATCTACATAATGCAGATTGTTAATAGATCTTCCACCAATCCTGACACCACACTTCTCCTCATAGAGCCCAGCCTCCTGGATAATCTGTTCTGCATACAGGTTGAAAAGGTATGGAGATAGGACACCTCCCTGGCCTATGCCCTTCCCAATTTTGAACCTTGTAGTGTTTCCTTGCTCTGTTCTAACAACGGCCTCTTGGTCCAAGTATAGGTTTCTCATTAGAATGATCAAGTGTTCTGGGATTCCCATTCTTCTCAGAGTCAGCCACAGTTTGTTATGATCCACACAGTCAAATGCCTTTGCATAATCAGTGAAACACAGATAGACATTCTTCTGGTATTCCCTGCTTTCATCTAAGATGCATCTAACATAGGCTACAACCTCCCTAGTACCACGACCCCTTCTAAAGAGAATGAAATCACCATTTTGCCCAAGTCCAAAATTAAATGCTTGTAAGGCTATGCTGTTCTGAAGACTCTATGAGAAGATCTTTCCTAGCTTCTGCTGGTTCGCGGCAAGCCTTGGGAGTACGGTCACTAAGGTTGATGTCAACATCCTCAATCTATGGCGGTCCTCCTATGCAAGATCATACACCATAAATATGACAAAAATCTTTGGTAATATTTATTTTCAGTTTTGTCATCTGTTACAGACGTAGTTGGAAATTTTTTAAATGTAAATTTCCTAGATTATGTAAAATACAATAAAGAAAAATTTTTGTAAAATCTTTTTACACTTTAGTGTCTGAGTGAATAAACTTTTAATTAATTTTTCTCCTTTTCCTTTAATGCCTACTTTATTATCGTGAAAATTCTATTAAATGCTGTCAATTATGACTCGTAGTATCCCTATGAAAATTGCCATATTTATCATCTCTTATATATATGAGCCCATTGATGCAATCACTGGGTCAGTCCATTTTGTTAAGGGTCTCCTTCTCTTTCACTGACCTTCCACCTTCCCAACCATGGTATCCTTTTCCAAGGACTAGTCTCGCTTAAAGATATGCTCAAAATTTGTGAGATGAAGCTTTACCACCCCTGCCTCCTGGCTGCACCTTCTACAGGACATTTTGCTGTTTTTACTGTTTCAGCAGTCCATGAGATCTTAAATACTTTTCTCCTATACCAGAACTCAAACACATCAATTCTTCTTTTTTCATCTTTAGTCACCAACCAACTTTCAGATGCATAGTAAATAATTGAAAAGACCGTGACTGAATCGGATGCTCCTCCAAGCTAACGTTATTCCTTAACATCTTGCAGGGGTGTGTGTGGGGGGGTCTTTGACCATAGATAGATTCAGAAATACTAATTTTCCCAATATTCTGTGTAAAACACTAGAAAATCTAACAAAATTTGCGAGGTGGTTGTCCAAAAAAGCAAAAACACACTGCATGCTATAAAATTGAGTAAAGTGTTGTCAGGACTGTACCCTTTCTCCATCATCTGTTCAATATGCTGAAGAAGTGAATGGAAAATCTGAACTTTAAGAAGAAGAACGTGACATCAGGATTGAATGAAGAAGACTCTTCAAGAATGTGTGTTATGCAGATAACAAAGCTTTGCTTACTTGAGGTGGGGACAACTTGAAACAGTTGCTGCAGAAGATCAAGAAGTACAGCCTTCAATATAGATTACATCTCAGTATCAAGAAAACAAAAGTTCTCACCATAGGGCCAATAAGCAATATTGTGATAGTTGGAGGAAAAAATTGAGGTTGTCAAAGATTTAACTTTATTTGAATCCATGATCAATGCCCTTGTTACCAGCAGCCAAGAAATCAAGAGATTTATATATGACAATGGGAAAATTTGCCATCAGTGATGTCTTGAGAGTCAGTTTAAAGAATAAGTTGCATATTCCAAGCCGCAGTCCTCTCAGTTGCTTTCTAGGTATCTGTATGTTAGACAATAACTAAAGATGACAGAAGAAGAACCAAGTCCTTTGAGTTGTGGTTTTATAGAAGAGCACTGAATATCCCATGGACTGCCATGAGGACAAACATGTCTGTCCAAGAGA